GGACTGCGCGTCATGTTCTGAGAATTTAGACTAACATACACTAATTATTACGTTCATTATCTTCTTTGATTTTATAAGCAAGAAGGGCTTCTTCTGTTCCAGTCCCCAGTTTTCTATTTCTTCAGCATTTTTCATCAAATGAAGGAAAAGGCAAGCACACTTCCCTCGCTGTTTGACCACAGATAGTTTATGCAGGTTCTTGTCACTCACTCTAAATTCCAGACTAGTACTAGTGACGGTGATGATGGAGATGACAGTAACTTACATGAACAGAGCACGTATGTGCCAGGCACTACGTTGTTCATTTCACATGAATTAACTCATCCAACCCAACCATCCCCCAAACAATTAAATAGGTAACATTACTAACTCAGTTCACGGTGGAGAAATGAAGAGCTGGGAAGGTTAACGTGAGTTTTCTTAACCTCAACACCGCTGACATTTGGGAACAGAGAATTCTTTGCTGGGGAAGAGGGGCTGTCCTGTGACTGCAGGCTGTTGAGCAGCTCTGTCCGCTGATGCAGCAGTGACAACCAAGTGTCCCTGAAGGCCACAAACACCCCTATTTGTCACCGTTGGCTCACTAGTGAGTAATCATGCCTAACATCGTCTCGGGGTAAAATGCAAAACAGCCCCTACTGTTCTGGGCGCTTCCATGTGCAGCGACCGTGTCAAGTTCTGCACAGAAAAGACAAACATCCAACTGTGGGAAGTGGTTTCCCGGAGCCGGAGGGAGCGGCGGCGGGAGCAGGGAACAGGGTGGAGGCCGCAGAGGACGCTCCGGCTGCGTGGAGCTGGCTGGTGGGCCTGAGTGTTGTGCTATCACCTTCATCAGTCCCACGTTTCACTTAAAACATGAGCTGAAGCAAATATGGTCACATGTCAGCACCTGTTTGAACTTGGTGAATACACGCATGCACTGATATTATTTTTGTATTCTTAGGTATATGTCTGAAATGTTCCACTAAAAACAATCATTTCTTTCACTTAAAACTGTCCATGCCCCTTCCTGCCCACTTTCACCCTGAGTTCCATGCCATTGTACCTATTTGGAGTCTCTCCTTTTGTCTTCCACTTTCCTCTACATCGTCAAAATCCCCCTCTTCACTACGTCATTTTCATAAATGTACACATATTCCAAAACCTTTCAGCTACTCTTCCTTCTCGTTCACACCGTATATCCATTAAACAAAGCCTCACACCATTCCTCATCTTGCAAAATAAAACCAACATCTAACCACTTTTCACCAAACTCAAATCACCTATTTTTTAAAATGTATTTTTTTATAGATTATTTTAGAGAGAGAAGAGGGAAAGGGAGAGAGAGAAACATCAATGACAGAGAATCCTTGATCAGCTGCCTTCTGCATGCCCTACTGGGGATCGAGCCCGAAACCCAGGCATGTGCCTGGGCTGGAATCGAACCCACGGCCTCTTGGTGCGTGGGCAATGCTCAGCCACCTATTCTTATTAAATCACCTGCACCCATTCCTGCTCTCTCCATACGGTTTTTTCATAGATTGTTTTCATAGTAGCCAGAAGGGTCCTTTAAAAAGAGTCACTTTAAGGGATCTGTTTTTGCTAAAATTGGCTTCCGGTCCTGTTCAGAGTAAAATGCACAATTTTGCGAAGAAGTGTGAGGAGGGCCCTCTGCGATTCCCACTCCCTGCTGCGTAGACGCCTCTACCATCTCATGTCCTGCCTCTGCCCCGTCTTCTCCCCGCCACCCCCCCACACACACACACCAGGAAGCCGCTCTTCAGAGCATCTGCACTGGCGTCTGTCCCGTCTGGGACCCCAGCCCTGGCCACACTGTGCTCCCTCACCTCTCTCAGGCTCTGCTCACATCCTGCTGCCCAGACCCCCTCTTCAGACCGCACCCCCGCTCCCCTCCTCAGCCCCCATCTGACTCTGCTTCTCCAGAGCAGGGCGGGACTTCTGAGGTCCTCACGGTCAGGATTCCATGGGGTCTGGGGAAGGCAGACAGTGCTCCCGACTAGAGGTCTGAGGGCTGCTGCCCTGCATTTCCAGCTGCACTGGTGATGCCCATGCTGCGCTCCTGACCCCCACCCGGGACCCCCACCCGGGGACCCACACACAGGGAGGGACCCCCACCCGGGGACCCCCACTCAGGGAGGGACCCCCACCCGGGGACTCACACCCGGG